ACAAGAATAGTCAATTCTAATGTCTAACACTTAATGTGGAGAAAGAGATGTCCTGTATGGGTTGATTGTGCGTTGATCTGTTGGTAATGCCTCAGAGTTTCCGGTGGGCATGTAAACAAATCCATAATGTACTTTGTGGCCTCACCCGGTTGCATAGCGACACTTATTGTTTAGGTGTCTTTTAATAAGCAGGTAGTCATATCATTAGCTAGAACTAGCTAGATCTGATCGATATGGACATAAACGCGAGTAAAGTCTAATCTGACGCGTCTGTATGATCACCTGCAGCGGTGGGCGGAGCAACACACTTCAGGTTAGAAAATCTGTCTGATCACTCATTACTGATCCACGAGCAGCATGAGACTGACGGGCTGTCAGGAGAGGGAGAGAGCGCTCCGTTTATTATTCCCGTGTTATTATAAATGACTGTACACTTTTGAATAATGTAGTTAATCTACTATTATTAGTTTGTTTAATATCGAATCATATCAATTTGTTTTAAAGCTCAATAAATAACGAAGAAGACCTTTGACCGGCACTTTTCTCATTTTGTCCGGAAGATTTAAAACTCTAACGGACATTTTGACCGGCAAAAAAAAATTCTAACGGGAACTCTGGAGGCTATGCTCACTAGGATGAAAGGCATTGAAGATGCTGAGGACAACCCTTTGGAGCGTTTCTGGACACACATAAAGGCAGACAGAGACGCTATTTAATTTGAATGTTTACCAAGAATTGCACACTTTTAATTTTCCATTGCTTATATACACCTAATTTTCTATTTTGTGATTATTATTATTATTATGTTACTTTTTCCATGCCATGTCTTTTAATGTCAATGCCAGGACCACGGAGGAGAGGGATTTGTTTATGCAGTGTACCGCCAATGTTTCTTTGTTCTGAATGGAAAATTCAATAGAAATTTGAATTACAAAAAGAGTTGAACCCACCAGCAGGATCTCGATGGCTCCCAGGATGTACATGGCTCCGGCGAAGGTGGTTCCCAGGTAGAAACACAGACCCACCGCCCCCCCGAACTCTGGACCCAGAGAGCGGCTGATCATGAAGTACGCGCCTCCCGCTGGAGGAGGGGAGAAGAGAGAGAGAGAGAGAGAGAGAGAGAGAGAGAGAGAGAGAGAGGGGTGGATGTTAGTCACATTATGATGTTAGGAGGTAGAGACTCAGACGACAGCTGATGAGAGAAGTCGTCCTATGCTTGGAGAAATAAGCATAACGCTCCACGCGATACGTCGGAGGAAGAAGATAGAGCAGAGCTTCGGTCAAATCGTAACTGCAAATCACGTTTCAGATGTTTTTTTACTCACTTGGAGGACGAGTACCAGTGTTAAGTAACCTCTTGATTGTCTTCAGTAAGTTCTTGTTCAGTAGCATTGAGTAAAACTGACTGTACTGAATCAGACTTAGTTTTGTTTACTTGATCTGGGATGTGACACCTCCTGATAAATATTTCCATTTCTTATCTATTAAAGCCAATATTAAACACTTGAGGCTTCCTTTGAACAAAAGAGTTTTGGATAATAAATAAGTTTGTATTTCTCAAAGTTAAGAATCAAAAAAGTAGTCCGATAATCAGACTAGGGCTGAATGATTAATCGATTTTAAATCAAAATCGCAATTTTAAATGATGCAATTATGAAATCGCAAAGCCTGCGATTGTTTTTTTTTTTTTTTAAATAAGTGTTTTAGTTTTTTTTTGTTTTTCTTNCGATTTTAAATGATGCAATTATGAAATGGCAAAGCCTGGGATTTATTTTATTTAAAAAAATTAAAAAAAGTTTTTTAGTTTTTTTTTGTTCTTCTTGTGTGTCAGTCATCCCCACCAATCAGAAGGGCTGTGCTCCACATGTCCCAGTCATTGTTAACCAATCAGAAGTGCTGTGCTCCACATGCCATTGTTAACCAATCAGAAGTGGCCCATGATAGAAGGTGATAGACAGATTGATCCAATCACCTGCCAAGTATTTTTGAAAGTGCCTGCCCTTTCCAAATGGCTTCCAATGGAGCTCTCCTAGATGGTTTGGTGAAACAAACCATCTGAGTCAGGTTAGTAATGCTCCATCACATGTTTCTATTACAGGGTGAATCTTAAACTGAAGCTTGACTTTAAAGCAACCCAACGGAAGTTTTGTGTAAGTTTAGTTCTTTCACTCGTAGCTCGTGCTGCGGGGGTGCTAGAGACGGGAGCATGTTGATGCGACCTTCCTATCCGGAGATATGGCCGCATTTTACAATAAACTTCCGTTGGGTCGCTTAAAAACAAATATCGCAATTCGAATCGCATTATTTGTCAGAAAAATCGTAATTCGATTATTTCCCCAAATCGTGCAGCTCTAAATCAGACTGAAGTGCCGTTTAGTTTATCGTTTCTCCAAGAAATATGTGGACGTAAGAGGACTTACTCATTGTTCATTAAGCCAACTAAACTTTGATTGATAAATGCAATGAAAATTGTCTCCCCTTTTCCATTAATTATCAAAAATGTCTTATAATATAAGATTGAATAGAAGATGTGGGCAGTGAGGTAGTGATTTTCAGGTATTGTTTTAGAATTAGTATAGAAAAATGTTGAATAAAACCAGGCCCTAAATTGTGTTCTGAACTTGGCATTGTCTGAAGTGAGCTAAACAACAACAACAGTAAGCTTTCATTTGCAGATACAATTTGAACCAGTTATATAATAAAGCACATGGAGGAATCATACAAGAAAGAAAAACTACATTAGAAACTTCTGTGAGCTCAGAAAGCAGTGTTTGGTTTCCTAAATGCAACCCGTTGACATTTGACAACACAGTGAGATGAATGGTTAAACAAATTGGCTGTGTGAATGTGAATGAACGGATTCCCCAACCCCCAAAACTACCATTGGGATGAGCTGTATTTCCAAAACCAAACACATTTGACTCCTCCTTCATTTGAACCACTTTAAACTCCATCCATACAGTATTAACTTAGTGAGAGCGCATGAGAAGCTGAGAACAAAAGACAGCATGGGATGAAATGTCTGAAGCCAAACAAACAACGTTAGATTCATCTCTATGTTACCGAGGGGTTATCGATGATAGAAATGTCACATGCTAGCTAGGGCTGCTCGATTATGGCAAAAATCATAATCTCGATTATTTGGGTCAATAATTGATATCACGATTATTAAAAACTATTATCCATTTACTTTGAAAACATCAATTTATTGGAGAAAAAAAATGTGAACAGTATGTTTTTAACAGTTGGTTACCCTGAACTTTAAGTATAATTCAACTGAAAAGCCCAAAAAAAAAAACAAAAAAAAAAAGTAAGAATAATTTAAAAATTAATCGTTTTATTTCGATTACGTTGTTTTCGTAATCGTTGCAAGCCATAATCGTAATTGCGATTAAAATACGATTAATTGAGCAGCCCTAATGCTAGTGTCAACATCACACTACTTTGACATTTGGGGCCTCCGACTAGAGGCGTAAAGTCAATGGTGGATCAATTATCCTTGGTTTTTAATAATGTGCGTTCAGACAGACAGGAAGGAGGCAGACAGAGGGAGAGACGGGACAAACAGAAACAACAACATTAGAAAAAAACACACAAATCAGTGCCAACACGAGCGGGGAAACTGAAGGGAAACAACCTGGAAGATTCTTCTATGGCTGTACCGAAAAAAAGTCAAATTGAGAATAAAAATCCAGAAGTAATTTATTGGATAGAGTGGGTCATTCTTTTAAAATACTGTTGGGAAAATACTGAATGTTCCTTCTATATCAGCACGTGATAACAGAGGCCCTACGTCGCTGTGTACGTAGCCGGATGTATGACTACATGGATGACGCTCATGAGACACTGTGTTGAAGTTATGATAGCTATGTTCCTAGGATTGGCATGAAGCCCCTCGACAGATCATGTTTATTGCTTACGCAGGCCTGAGCTGATCTTAACTAATGTCAGAATACTGCTTTGAACCGGTATCCTTCCATCTTGGGACTGTAACACCCTCTCTTGTATATCAGCATCTTGAAGGACACTGTTCGGGTACTAATTGTCCCTCGCAGCTTTGTGTGGGATGACTACTTCCATTCTGAGAGGATCATAAATACATGGATCCTGAGATTGAAGACCGGTGACCAGTGATATTATTCTAACAAATACATTTCTTTGCAGCATTCAGATATTGTTTTATAATCCCAAAAGTAACTAAGTACATTTACTCAAGTACTGTACTTTAAGTGCATTATTGAGGTACTTGTACTTTGCTTGAGTATTCTCATTTAATGCTACTTCATACTTCGACCACAATACATTTTGGCAGCAGATATTGTCCCGACGAACTACAAATAAATAATACAAACATTAAATCAACTAATACACTATGATCTACTTCAAGGATAGATATACCTTTCAGTTTGATAAGTAATTAATGTAATATTATCCTTTACACATGAAAAATGTAAAATGATAGACACATGAATGCATCAAAACAAGTGATATAAAATATATTGTGGGGAAATCGACCACTTTGGATTATGAGTACTTTGGTACTTAAGTATATTTCGATGATGCTACTTTTGCACTTTTACTTGTAATGGGAGTATTTCTACACAGCGATATTATTACTTTTACCTAAGTGTACAATCCGAGTACTTCTTCCACACTTGATAATCCAAATGTCAACATTATAATTGAAGTATTGAAGCTTCAAACTATCCAATATAGCCGTATATAACGTAAGAGGTCACTTGGCTGTGGAAACTCATAAGTTAAACTGACACGGTAATAATGGAGATAAGACGAAGCTGTGTGGGAGTCAGATGAAGAGATTACCCAGCACACACCAGTGCCCTTTAATCCACAGGTAGGGAGAGGATGGGAGGGGGCGGGAAGAGGGGGGAGTAAATTATGAAGGAATACCTGGAACAACTCCGTTAGTGGCGATGGCGCTCATCGATATCGCCGTCAACAACGTCTGCAGGGAGAGAGATTTAAAATACATTTAGAGTTTCTGATGAAAGTGGTAATATGCAGAGATGGCTGAAGTACACACATCCTTTACTCAAGTAGAAGTACAGATACTCGTGTTTAAAAATACTCTGGTGAAAGTAGAAGTACTGACTAAACTACTTTACTCAAGTCAAAGTAAAGAGGCTTTGAAATGTACTTCAGTAAAAAGTACCCATAACTAGCAGCTGTTTTAAAGAGTACCTGACCTCCCTTTATATTAATAGAACAATAATGTCATTGTTAGCTAATGAATGTTTCCATGGTGACCAACGGCAACATGACAACGTTTTCATTGGTCCCTCTTCTTTAGAGAAGACCAGGAAATGATGGATACACGGATCGTGTTCAAATCAATAGGCACGCAATGACTCTAAATAATAATGATCACGCCACCAAACACACATTCAGACTAAAGGAACCAGCCTGTTTGGAAAATGTGAGAAGTAGAAAGTACAGGTATTTGAGTTCAACATGTAAGAAGTAGAAAGTACAGGTATTTGTGTTCAACATGTAAGAAGTAGAAAGTACAGGTATTTGTGTTCAACATGTAAGAAGTAGAAAGTACAGGTATTTGTGTTCAACATGTAAGAAGTAGAAAGTACAGATATTTGTTTTCAACATGTAAGAAGTAGAAAGTACAGGTATTTGTGTTCAACATGTAAGAAGTAGAAAGTACAGGTATTTGTGTTCAACATGTATTCCGAGTCACTTCCTTCAGAAGCTAGGCAAGAATCCTTCCTGGCATTCGGAAAACGAAGAGTGGAACAGGCTAGCAAGTGTGCAGGTGTGCGTCATATGAGAGGCCCCGCCTTACATTTTCCGCCATAGATTTGGGGAAATTGGTCCGTGCGCGCAAAGCATTGTGGGGATTTTAAGACCGCGGAGTCTACACATGTGCAGCCTCAAAATTTCTCCAAACAAAGTACGCCGGGCTCGGTAGAATTCCAAGTATGCTGGACATTGGAACAGTCCTTCGGCGGTAGTCGATGACGTAGTATGCTTGAAATAGTGGCTCTGGAGCATCCTTCCTCGACTGAGTAACACCTCTCGTCTCCTACTGTCACTAGCTTAAGGGCTAATGTTAGCATGGCCATTTTCATGT